ACATTGCCCTGTATAACAAAAAAATTTGATTGGTCTATACATTGCCCATGTAAAAAAAATGACCGAAAAAATCAGATTTATGGCTTACACGAGTGCGTGTGAATCGATGTCGTATGTAGGAATGTGTCAAGGGTAGGGCTAGTACTACACTTACCATTTATCGACGTAAGGAGTCAGAAAAAAAAATAAAAAATACAAGTTTCTAAGTGAAAACTGAAGAAAAACGCGACTTTTAGCCACAGTAATTAAAATCGATTAACAATCGAATAATCGATTAAAATCTATTTTTTCCGGTCATTTTCTTAAATGGGTGGCAATATGATACAATATAGTGTGATATGTTTCCAAAAATTTTTCATTGCATATTATTATTGCAAACGGTATATTAATAATATCTTATTATAATATATGAACTACTTTCTTATTTCATTTCTCGAAGATTAAGTGAAAGGATGATTCGAAATGTGTCTTACTAACGGATAGAATAAATCAATCTCTCTGTGATTAGGAAAAGCAGCTACATTATATTTCATATTTTAATCCTGGATGAATTGTGCTAACAGCATCCATTCATAAAAGTATTTCTTTATGATAAAAATTCATTTTATGAGATTCTGTTGGGACTTAGGTTCTGTATACCAATGTATTCTTAAGAATCACTGTATAGACTCAATATGTTCGTTCAAAGACGAGCATTATCATTTCACCTTTGTGTTAATTACATTTTTTTTCTTTAAATAAACAAACCTTGTACTTGACGAACATTCTGAATTTCAATTTCATCTAAAGTTCCATCAATAAATCGTCGACATTGATTTTCAATTTCATATAATTGTTGTTCGGATAATGGTTCATAAGAAATTCCATTACGATTTACTAATGTATTATGTAATGCTAATTCTTCTTTTAAATATTTATTTTCTCGTTTATAATTTTCAATTGCTTTTACTGGGTCAATTACTTGATTAACAGTTGGTTCAGCAGGTACACACATCATTCGACTAGCAAAACGAAGTGTTGAAACCTAGTTTATCAAGAAAAAACAATAACAAATTTTCTATTAGTCTATTGCTTTATTTTCATACTGTTTCTTCAATATGTTGTATTTCTGGCCAAATATTTGCAATCATAACAGTATTACATCGTCCACCAATACTATCTTTCAATGCATGTGTTAATTTTGAACTTCGAAAATGTGAATAATTTGTTTTTTTATCCGATAAATTAAGTACAACTTGTTCAAGAAAGGATAAAGATTTATTGATAAATGTTGCTTCTCGTTTTGTTACACCTTCAGACTAAATACATAAAAATATAAATTGAAAATTTATGTTATTCAAATCAACAGAAAAAACAAAAACTTTACATTTGTCTTAGCCAATCGTTCACTTCCAGCTAAGTCAACAAGATTTAATTTTGATACAGTATATTTGTCATCTGATGATAAAATTGCTCGACATTCAACAAGAATTGTAAAAATACAATGTGAACGAGATGATTGTTTATTGAGTACATGTTGACCAATAGATCGATTTGTTTCACCTTCAAATAATAAATTTAATGCTTCTTCTTCATTATTCGCAATACGATATGATAATCCTTTAACATAAACAAAACCCGCATCTTCACCAATTGATAATTGTTGATAATCAGATGGTGAATTAAGTGTACGAAGTAAATCACACATTTGATCATTATAAATTTCAAGATAAGCAATACTTAGAAAATAAAATAAAATTTTATTTTGTGTTATTTTTCTATTTTTTTTTAATTACCGAATAGAATAAGAAAAATCTTGTCGAGCATTTATTTCTTGGTAAAGATGTTGTAAAGCACGTGGTATAATACCACGATTTAGATAACTTTCAGTGAAACCGGTCATTGTATGAGTTTTTCCAGCTCCTGTTTGACCATAACACATAATTGTTCCTATCATATAATGAATGAATTTATTTAATTTTTAAAAAAGAAAATAATAAAACAGACCATTATAACCCTCTAATGTTCGATCAACGACATCCTTAGCTACAGAATCAAATATTTCTTCTTGACTAACATTATGAGATACACCATCTAAATGAAATGCCCAATCATTGATTTTGTTATCAACAGCATTGGCTGATGCAGCTCGATGAATACAAATTGTCTATTTAAATTATAATTTTAAAATGAATACGAAACTTTTTTTTCTATCAAACTATGAACTAACTCGATTATCTCGTCCGAAAGAAATCATATCCGATGCAAAATTATTTGTAGGACGAGTTCGAACATAAACTTTTACTTTATTGGATGAACGTTGTGGCATGTTTAGAAAATTGTTGACGAGTCTATGAATACAAAACTACAAATATTTATATTTTAATTAGCAAAAAAAAAATAAAATCTTACAATTATTTATATTTAAAGAATTCGGAATATCAATTGAATTGAATTAATTAGAGAAGCTTATCAGTTTTACATAAATATGAAGGAAGAACATTTTTATCTATAATAAAAGAATATCAAAGACAATGTTCGTTTGAAAAAATGTAATTATCATGCTCATTCTTTTTTATGATTAAAAACCTTCAATTTGTTTTCTTCTTTGTTTTACTTGTAATATCTCTTACAATTTTACTTTATGGATGAATATTTTGATTGATGGTTGAATATGAAAATATACTTGTTCGCTGAAAAACAATCATTGTGCTTAATTTAAGGCGACATTCATTACCTACCTCCGTCAAAACATATACATTCAGCAAAACTTTTAATACATTTACCATCGCTTTTTTCTTCAAATTAGCATGAATTTGTAATAAAGGTCACATTAATATGTAAGAAACTATAGAAACTCCTTGATGATTACATTCAAAAATGATACATACAAAGATGTCGCAACTGAGAGGTTATAAAAATTTATTTTAATAATTCTGAATATAAATTTCTCTATTTGAAATTTATTTTACTGGCAACAAACATAGTTGTGAATTTTTCATGTTTTTTTTTTTATTGAAAATATAAAGATTACGATTAAAACAATAGTAGACTCTCATAATAGAAATAAAAATATGTCAAACAAAGATACAAAGTATTAATCTATCGTTTGATTTTTTTAAAATGCATCTTTAACCCTTTCACGCCGGGGTTTTTTAGCGAAAAAAATAGTCTTTATTATGGTCTGTAAAAAATTGCATGCCCAAAAGTCACAGCGCTCGCTTTCATTGCCCCAAGTCTCAGTACTTAATAGCCTCCACCATATTCGGAGTCACGAATTCTTTAAGGGAATGCGCGCCAGCACAGAAGATGCTCGACTCTGCAAATAGTATTTTAGTCCTGTGTCTTCCTCCAGACGTTTTCTTCTCCAAAGGAGGATGTTACATAAGGATCCTGAGCTCCACCGTTTGTAATATAGTTTCTATTAGAAGCGTTTCGATGTATCGATAGACTTTCTTTATTAAAGACTCTTCAAGTTTTACACTTAAAGTGTGACTTTCCTATAAAACTTTCGATGCCAATAGTCTCTCTCTCGTTATAATAGAAAGAGTTCTTTAGACACAAGTACCAAATATCACTTCGAGTACCATTTGATATCTGTATCTAAGGAAAAACGTCAGCGTCCCATATATGGGACACCCGGCGCGAAAGGGTTAATCTAAGACATATTCATTTCTATATTAGATCGAGTACGAAATGACAGATTCATCTGATATTTACCTATCCAAACAGAATTCCGTTCTGGTATTTATTCTGGATTTGGTGTTAAGCGCCGAAACGGAAAATGTAGAAAGAGAAAATGTAGAAATCGAAATAATATAAAAGGAGAGAGGAAAATGTTGAATGCAAAATATCGAAAAGTTAGATATCAACAATGGTTACTTTTCTTTATTAATGTTAAATGAGAAGAATTTATTCAATTATGCGACAGAAGACAATAAAAACTGAATAGATAAAATTTATAAATGTTCATCTCATATTTTGTGTCCACCGATTAATAATCCCAACTTATCCAACAGCATCTTTGCACTAATTTCATTGCTGCTGAATCTTGTTTTGAGAGTTTCAAATCGACTTTGAAACATTGTTCTCCGTGTTGATTGTTTGGAAGAGGATGCACCTGCATCAAGTTGAATTATTAAATGTTCACAACGAGCATTTTCACTCTGGATCAGCTGTATGAAAGTCCATATATTCGGGTATTTTTTCATAAAACGTGTTCCAAATCGTCGATTGTAAGCTATTATGAAAGAAAAACATACATGGACTTTTTTAACTTGTAATTAAAGGCTTTTTAAATTACCTTCACAAATATTATTTGTTCGATGATTAAGATCATAAAAATTCCACATTGACAACGGAATATGTCCATCTATCCATTGACGATAAAGGTACATGAATAAATCATCCAATGATGGTGATGCAATTGTATGAATACGATTAAATTGATATTCCACTTCAGAAACAGGCATTAAGCATAAAGCCATTAATTGCTTGCACTGTTCACGTGTTGAAGCATCTTGTGCATAATCGGTACCTAATCCGAGGTCCATAATTTTGCGATGAACACTTTGATTAAAGTGAAACATGCATCTCGTATGTGTTGCAGCTGGAAACTAGAACAAGGACAGAAAGATCGAGATTATGAGGTCCAATTTTAAGAGAAAATAAAAAACTTACTTTTTGTCGAATCACTAGGATCAAAGCTGCTTCAAAATCAGATATTATATGGCGGGGGTCGAATTGTTTGCCCATCATGGTTGCCTCTTGTTCTAATCGTTGAAATAATTCTGAATACGTTGCTGTTCGTCGATTTGGCATTAAACAAAACGCGACCGGCAAATCTTTTTAAACGAAGAATAAGAAATTAATGAATTTTATAAAATATCAGGCACTAAGGGTGCGGGGGATTGAAGAAGAATCATTCATACACCCCTCAGATCTACCGACACCCACACCCACACCCACACCCACACCCACACCCACACCCACACCCACACCCACACCCACACTCACAACCACATCCACACCCACACGCACACCCACACCCATCCATCCATCCACCCATCCACACCCACACCCACACCCACACCCTACCAAAAGAGAAAATTATAAAGACGCGACTTTTATCATTCCCACAAGCTCATAATACAGCACTCTATATACAATTATGAAAATAACTCATCAGTATATCGTCGCCGTCTCATATATTCCTATTAATAACATATTCAGCACTTCAAGCTTTATCTTGATGCTAGTGAAAGTCTAAGAAAGGCTATTAACATAATAACATGTATTTTTGACAATAGTCTGAACATGTCGTAGAGATATGTCGGCGTGAAAGGAAGAAGTATTTTCATTGAAATTTTTACTGAGGATGGAAAGTTCAAAGAAAAATAAGACTGGCGCAATAATTTTCAAAAAAAGACTAAATACGTGAAGAGAATCATTATCTTTGATTAGTTTCAGCAAATGTTAAGTTTAAATAATCTCTACAAGAAATTTGATGGTAACTAAATTGAGAAAAATATTAAGTGTAGTGTTTTCAGAAACCGATCGCAGATTTCCCTTGTTCTAAACTGATTTTGCTTTCTTAAACCTTTCTTGTGTGGTATTACTTTCTAAAACAACGTTTATGTAAAAAAACTCTATACTTTAACTTAAAAAGGTCTAAAATTAAAGTTTAAAGTACCGTCATTTTAACTGTAACTTAGAAAACTTTAGAGTATGACTTAAAACTATAACCACTTTAACATTTATAGTTTAAAGCTAAAGTGCCACTCTTAATTATCGAAAGACTCGTAATGAAATAATAAGGAGGAAAATGCAAGTCTTATATGAAAATTTAACTTGTCGACACCTACTGCTTGCTTCTTGTTATAGTTATTAGACATACAAAACTGTTTCAAATGTATACCACAAAGTCACGTCTCAAACGCTATTTCTCTTCGTTCAAGGGACATGTGCTAAAACCACTTTTGTGATAGATGTCTCGGATAAATTGAAAAGGGTAAGATTTAGGATTCTTTTAAACACTCGGATTTTTATATTTCCTATAGTTCCTTAAATTATCTAGAACCCTTGATGGCTTATTTATCAACGAATGCAATTTTCAAAAAACATAAGGATTTTCGGTGAAACTATAAATGAGTTGTAATAATACTCTTTAATAGAGAGTACGCAAGTGACCATTTCTTATTGTTAGTATCACCAGCAATTATAACACGATTGCTCTGTATTCATGTTTGTTTTGGTAGACTTCCAATCACAACTTCTCGTTTGCATACATCTTACTCTTATTATCTTTTCGATATTTGTTTTTTGCTGCTAATTCATCGATCTCATCACCGCTACGTCCTGACCATTTAAAGAATCATTGTTGATCAGCTTCAAGATGCAAAACCCAAGTAATAACAAAACAATTAAACCTAACAAAAGTCACACCATACGACATACTGTTCCAAAAGTGTCAATTGTTGCATTTGTAGCTATTTTTATTGCAAGTATTGCAATATTATTATTTTCAAGAGATCATCGGAAGACAGTGAATTTTGTTACTTTCAGAACATCTCAAAGTAAGTATATTGCTAGTATTCCACGTGGTCGTTTTTCAAATCGGTACTGTCAAATTATGACGATGGTCCGTCTGGCATATCATCTGAATAGAACTCTCGTTCTGATACCATATCAAGGAGTAGAGATAGATGAATTGCTCGATTTGGATGCAATTAATAAAGAATTTCGTCGGAAACATCTAACTCTAACTTGGAAAAAATATCGTCATATGAAGAACATCACATCGTGTCTTTGCCTCAAATTAATATACTATGCACATGCGCAAGATAATTTTTCAATGTGCAGCAGTTCAACACAGTCTCAAATATGTGAACTGAACTCTTCTCATCCAATATTAGGTGAGCAACGTGTAGAATTACATAGCATAGAGACTGCATTGAGAGTTCAAGACTCTTTCATGCTAGTCTCAGGCAAGTGGGTGTGGCAATATCGTTCAATTAAAGGTTTTCCTGAAATTATCGAAACACAAAAGAATATAACACGTACCTTTCATATACGCTACTTGCAAAGCATATGGAACGAAGCACAGCATATTTATCGATGGCTTATATTGAGATCGGCCTCACGTCATACTACGACATTAGGCATTCATATACGTCTCGGTGACCTGACCAGTAGAATGAATTTAACCGCATTTTTGCACAAAGCCAAGCAAATATCTCTGAAATACTCCGTTCCACACACAAATATTTTCATTGCGACTGACGCAAATCCTAAGGAAATTGAGATTATTCGCCGGACATTCGGCTTGGCACAAATTGAATGTCCAGTACAAGTTTCGCACGGCTGTAGGCACCATGTACGTCGGCTTTTAATTGTTCAGGCTGTTGCGTCCTTAACAACTCACTTCATTGGGAGTCCTGGATCTTCTTTCACGAATGTGATCAATTTGATGAGAAAGGCTAGAAAACAAGGAGAAGTCGGCTAGATTTTATCGATGGCAAGATATTGCAGCTGTGTCCAATTTCGTTATTTTTTTTAGAGTGTAGTTGTACCAGCGCGTGAGTGTCGGTGTTTCTGTAACTTGGATTATTTTTCCGTTGTACACCCGCCACTCACGAATACCCATACTGTTAGATAAATGATGAGGATTATTGATGTTAGGTGAATCAACAATTACTAAATATAATATCAGCTGAGTATTTAAATTTAATTTTTCGGTCTGAACCAAACATGTTTGAAAACGCTGTCGGTTACAGTTGTGTTGCAGTTCTTCACTGAGTGTTGCAAATAGACTACTTTGCCAACAGTCATCACTTATCTGCAGGGGTGGCGCGAACCAACTGAAATGGGGGGGGGGGGGGGGGAAGGGAAGTGTTGGGAATATTTGGGGGGTTTACCATAATTTTTTCAAGGAGAACAAGAAAATCTTTGGATTTTGCTTGGAAAAAACGAAAATTTTCGATGATTCGGGGGGAGGGGGTGCTACATCCCCGACTACCCCCTGTCGCGTCACCCCTGCTTATCTGTCATGATTGTTTGCTGACAAATTTGAAATAATTTTATAATCTTTCACATGTTCGTTTAAATTTAACTGGGTAGAGATCTAGGTGAGTGCCAGTTTGAATGTGGTGTGCAACTTCGAGGTTGGCTGCGGATGTAAATGTGTATGCAGAGATCGATGTGGATTTGGAGCGGCGATGTCGGCGCAAGGAAAGAAGAGACAAACACACATTTATACACACCCGCAGCTGCATTATCTTGAGGTGTGGATGTGAGTGTGCGTGTGCGCTTTAAAAAAGCATAGGTTTATTACGAAACCTGTGCTCGCGCTCAGATCCATTAAGGTTTTGTATTGATTTATCGACCCTAAAAAGGATTAGAAAACGATTTACTAAGCTTCTTTTTAGTTTTCCTAAATCGATACGAAGTTGTAGAGAGTTTGAGCGCGGGTACAGGTTTCGTAATAAACCTATTTTTTTACAGTGAGAGTGTGGGTGTGGGTGTGGGTGTGTGGATGGGATGTTAGTGGGTATAGATACACAGAAAATAAACACCCACATCCATACCCACACCCACACCCACACCGACACTCACACCCACACACCCACACCCACACCCACACTTACACCCACATCCATACCCACACCCACCCACACCCACACCCACACCCACACCCACACCCACACCCACACACCCACACCCTAAAACAATATATAAACACAAGAGCGACAAAACGAAAATGCTTTGATTGTGGTGAAGAGGATGATAGAATTATAGAAGAGAAAAACAATGACATGAAACTGGTCAGGATAGTTGACATGATCGGATAGTATGACTAAATAAAAAGTTCGTTTGGTATTCACAAGATGCAGTTTTTGTTGGCTGCTCTATTTATTCTTTTCTAATATATCCCTTGAATATACTAAACTGTGTTGTATGTCCTTTACTGTTGTTCACTATTATTAGCTTAAAACCGGGGATCCTTTGCAATTAAACATTACTATCTAAAGTGTTCATTAAAACGGTTCAACTATTTGCAATCTCAATAGTGTTGGAGAATTTATCAGGAAAGCAGTTTGATAATTCAACCGGTATATAGAAATTAACTTTTGTCGTTCTTTGAGGATCAAGTGATAGTCAAAAACGGATATAAAGCATTTTGAAGAGTTTTTTCTAAGACTAGAAAGCTTGCTAACATAATATATTATAAATGACGTCATTACCGAAACAGTTCTCTTCGCAAACGAGTTGCTTCATCCTGTTTTATCAGAGTTCTTGTACCATCTCTATTGGGTGGTGCATTCTTCAAAGGTGTGGATGATACATAGTCGATGTATTCGGAAATATTGTTTTTATAATACTCTCTTCTCGCACCACTAACTTCCAACATATTGCTTAGTTCTAACTGTAATGCACTATACATATCTCCGTTTTGAAGATGTTGATGAATAGTTTTATGATAATCAGATGCCTCTCGACTGCTTCCTGTTGACGCAGCTTTTCCATGATCTTCCACAAACATGACCATAGCTGGCATACTATATTCGCTTATATATTCATAGGGTGTACCTTTACGTGAAGCTTTTGGAGGGATGTGATTTAGTTCAAAAATTCCCTTTCGTCCTCTCAATTTCTATTTAAACGACCGTACTTACCTGCACGTGGATATGTATCAGACGTGTACATCTCCTGGAAAGAAGGCTGTAGCTGAGCTCCTCCTGTGATTAATAAAGCATTTGCTTCTCGTGGATGATGGTATTGGATGCATTGTTGTACTTTCTCTATTTTCGAAAACTGACTAGGGTTCGTTTCTATGCTTTGGGCTCGAGCATTACGAAGATCGTCGATAGTTTTATCGACATTTTTATCATGTAATATTTTCTGAATAACAGTATAACCACAATTATTTTTCTCGTTTGGAATATCAATAAGAGTGCCATCTCTTGACATAAGTTGAAAATGTCCTATACCAACATTTCCATTTGCATCTACTGTTCCTTTCGTGTATACTATAATGTTTGTACCATGTGCCTTATCCTCTTCCGTAGGCTGGTAATTCTCATCATCTGCTATTTTTATGTCTAAATTATTTTCCGCAGCAAGTGCTATCATATCAGAAAGATTTGCTGGTTTATCGACTGCTCCAGTGCTATGTACATCTCGTTGTTGTGGGTGTTGAGACTGATAAATAATATCACATTGACTATATGCAATCGTATAATCCTTAGCATTATATCTAATTTGCTTTGCAATAGTGTTATATTTACTTCCACCTTTTTCTGCTTCAAGTTGTTGATTTTCTCGATTTTGACTATCGGAATTTTGATTCTCATCAACAATAAAATGATGTTGTACTCTTTCTGAAATGGCTTTTGTCAATTCACCCATACCGTAGGTACTCCATGGTGCAATGAGTTGCGATTGTGTTATTCGAAAAACTTGCTCTGTTATTGTATCGGATACTAATTTCATGATTTCATTGAAATCATCAATTACGACGTTGGATATATTTTCTTGTAATGAAGTAAAAAATTTCACAACCGTTTCTTTATGGATATCAAAGTGTTTGAAGTCAACCTTATCTAATTTATTCCGAAAATTCTTATCTTCTAATTCGCTATTGAATTCTACGATGTCTTGATCTTCAAGCAGACTTACAATTTCCTTGGTATCTTCTTTGCTGATCGTGCAATAGTGATTTAGAACTTGATGCATAGACAAAGTATCTCGATCCATGTCTGAAAGTTTCTTTAAGAGTTTATCATGTACATTTTGAATAATAAACGTAATTTCATACATTCCATTCAATGTACCAAGTATTCTAATACCCATACTTACTGGACCGCGTATTTTCTCGACCCTTGATAGCATACCTTTACATAAAGGACCACCAATGGAATTCCACTGTTTACGCCAGAAACTATGCTCAGGATTAATTATTTCAATGACTAGTCTGTTGATTTTTGCTTTCATCTGTTGTTTTTGACTCATTAGGTCGATCGCATACATTTTACGAACGATTTTGAATAAATTAGATTCGGCAAACTTGCTACTCACTCGATTTTGTATAAACGCCGAAATCTGCGGTTTCATTTGTTCTAACATGAAATTCGATCCAATATCTGCAATCTTATTCAAACCTTCTCTTAGTGCAGCTTCACCAACAGTTACACAAGTGAACTTGACCGTTAGACTTCTCAAGTTTTTTCCTGTTTGAATTAATGTTGTACTTGCTGACTTTCCACCAGTAATTCATTTCGTACCAGCTTGCTCAAGTATTTCTTGTCTTGCTCCTGACACAATAGTCTGAACTCCTTTCCCTGCATCTTTGATCGATGAGAATCCCATCGAAGCAGCCGAAATAACTAGACTAACTGCTTTTTGTTTACCATAATCAGACCAACTAAATTGTCTCGTACTGTAAGCTCGATAAGCAGTAAACAAATCTGCAGCTCCTTCAGTAACTAGACTCATGCCTACAGTAGCTCCGAATCCCGTACAAATAAGAACAGCACCTACTGCCATTTGAACAACGCCTAGGATAGCAACACTTGCAATGCTTAGCCACGGTATAAATCTCTTCTCGCTGATTTCAAGAAGATATTCGATTCCTCTACCTGAAAATTCTGACAATTCTAAATCTGGCTTTGAATCGTTCATGAATAATTCAGTTAAAGGTTTCACTTTATTAATTTCTATATCTTCTTGATCGATGGGAGCTATTTCTATTAGTCCTTGTGCTTGAGCACTTGTCAAATGCTGAAAGGCTAAACTAAAATCGAGGTTTTTTTTCTTATTTCTGTTATCAAAGTTTGAGCCGTTTCTCTTCCTAATTGATCAAAAGAAACATTGATAAGTTCATCGTTTAGTCCATTCAAGAGACTATTGAAATCTATGCTAATGAAATGAATATTAAAATTTGCATTCGGATAAATCGAAAGAATGTTTTGAATTGTCTGTGTATTTAAATCAATTAATTTCATCCACATTTGATCCTCTTTATTTTTTTTTATTCTTTCCTCTGCTGTTGTCTTATCGACTAATTCTTTGACATTGCTAACTTTCTTTTCCTCGTTTTTAAACGAGTATAATTCAATGTGTTGCTTATCGAGAGAACGAAGAATTTCTAATAATTTTTCTTTTCCATCGAACATATTAAGACTAATGCTTTTGGATTTTATTTTTGTAAATTTCTCTTGAAGTTTTTCTTCATTCAAACGAAGAAATTCGACATTTAATTCTGAGAAATTTATTACTTCGGTTTTTAAAATTTCGGATACTTTATTCGCAGCTACAAAAGTTAGATTATAACGTACATTTTCTTCTTTCTGTTTTTCAATTATTTTTATTGCATCTCTTACTTGCAAACGACGTTCTCTTTGTATTTTGTTCTTGTTAAGGATAATATCTAAATCCACTGCATATGAATCGGGAGATAAAGAATCCGGTAGTAAATGTCGATGAAAAAATGAACTTTATCTTTTAACACTGTTAGAGCCACCTCTTTTCGAACTTCCTGAACTTCGATATTAGGATTAATAAGTTCTTTCAATGCTTCTGAATTAATCTGAGGAGGGAAGGTCCCCAAGTGTGAGTCTCCGTTTCGAATCGGGTATTTGTTATTTTGTAGAGCTCAATGAGTACAGTACCCGCGTATAAAGGATTTCTGCCCATGGTGAACTTTTCAGGAACAACGAGGTTCCATACCTTCTGAAAAATCAGCATAAGACTCTTAACTGAAGGCTTGAATTTTAATATTGTAAGGACAAAACATAGTGTTGTTCAGGCCAATCNAACAGCTGAAATAACGAGACTTACTGCTTTTTGTTTACCATAATCAGACCAACTAAATTGTCTCGTACTGTAAGCTCGATAAGCAGTAAACAAATCTGCAGCTCCTTCAGTAACTAGACCCATGCCTACAGTAGCTCCGAATCCCGTACAAATAAGAACAGCACCTACTGCCATTTGAACAACGCCTATGATGGCAACACTTGCAACGCTTAGACACGGTATAAATCTCTTCTCGCTGATTTCAAGTAGATATTCGATTCCTCAACATGAAAATTCTGACAATTCTAAATCTGGCTTTGAATCGTTCATGAATAATTCACTTAAAGGTTTCACTTTATTAATTTCTATATCTTCTTGATCGATGGGAGCTATTTCTATTAGTCTTTGTGCTTGAGCACTTGTTAAACGCTGAAAGGTTAAACTAAAATCGAGTTTTTTTTTTCTTATTTCTGTTATCAAAGTTTGAGCCGTTTCTCTTCCTAATTGATCAAAAGAAACATTGATAAGTTCATCGTTTAGTCCATTCAAGAGACTGTCGAAATCTATGTTAATGAAATGAATATTAAAATTTGCATTCGGACAAATCGAAAGAATGTTTTCAATTATTTGTGTATTTAAATCAATTAATTTCATCCACATTTGGTCCTCTTTATTTTTTTTTATTTTTTCCTCTGCTGTTGTCTTATCGACTAATTCTTTGACATTGCCAACTTTCTTTTCCTCGTTTTTAAATGAGTATAATTCGATGTGTTGCTTGTCGAGAGAACGAAGAACTTCTAATAATTTTTCTTTTCCATCGAATATTTCAAGATTAATGCTTTTGGATATTATTTTTCTAAACTTCTCTTGAATTTTTTCTCCATTCAAACGAAGAAATTCGACAGTTAGTTTCGAATAATTTATTACTTTGGTTTTTAAAACTTTGGATAAATCATTCGCAGATACAAAAGTTAAATTAAAGCGCACATTTTCTTCTTTCTGTTTTTCAATTATTTCTATTGCATTTCTTACTTGCAAACGAGATTCTTCTTGTATTTTATTATTGTTAAGAATAATATCTAAATCCACTGCATACGAATCAGGAGATAAAGAATCTGGTAGTAAATGACGATGAAAAAATGAACTTCTATCTTTCAATTCTACTAAAGCCATCTCTTTTGTAACTTCCTGAACTTCGATATTAGGATTGATAAGTTCTTTCAATATTTCTGAATTAATCTGAGATATACTAATCCTAATATCTTTATAATCACTATTCAGAATATGTCGTTTTGTAGTGCGCAAGAGATCAAGTAAGTTAGGTTTTGATATTGCCCGATCGATAGTCTTAATAGCTTGATCGATGGTACCCATATCTTCTCTCACAGTAAGATCATTGAATGTTACTTCATATTCTCGATCTTTTGATAAAATTTGAAGAGGAGCTAAAAAGTCTGCTCGAACGTAGCCATTTTCAGAGACGATTTTTCGATAAATTCTATTGTAAATTTTAGAATTTGTATTTCTATCAAGAATACTCTCATCAAATGATATAGTTAAAAGCCAATTATTCAATTCGGTATCATCTATAGTCCATTTAGCTGTTTTATTTTCTATTCTATTTTTGTAAATAACTACGAATTTATCTTCATCTTCTTTTATGATCCCGACTTCGTCACAATTTTCTATCGAAGCTTTATGTCGATCACTCTGATCAGAGGAAATTAAACGAATATTACACCATTTTCCAATACCTTTCTCAATTTCATCATGCGTAATGGCTCTTTTAAATACGCCACTATTATCTGCATCGGTTTTCATGTTTTTACAGTCCATGATATCCGTAATTTGTATTAATCTGCGAGATTTTCTAATTAGATTCACGACATTTTCTAAACTATTGCAATAACCACCTAAAATATTAATTTTTTGTATTAATTGTTTCGATAGAGGACTATTCATATTGAACGATCTCTTTTGTAAAAGTGTTTGGATTGATGTTAGTAAAGCCATTTCTTCAGCTAAGATTTCAAGTGCTCTACGGAATGCTCTCATAGCTGCTTCCTTATAGCCGAACTCTTGTTCATTCGAGCCAATAATTTTCTCTTTACTTTTTATTAATAACCATCCTTTACCAACAAAAGCTGCCGCACAATGATTTGAATCAGATTGTATAGCTTTATCGAAATGCTTCATCGCTTCATCATACTTATTTTTCAGCGATGAATCACTTATGATTAAATCATTACCTATGTTGATACGGTGATAGGGGTTCTTAATGACACAATCATTTGCGTAGTTTCTCTGTATATTTTTGCTAAATTCTTCATAGTCAGCATGAATTTTTTCTGTATTGATAGGACATTTTTCATCATCAATTTTACGTAAAAACATAGCCCATTGTTCTTCAATACTGAGTAATGTGTTCGACTCAATAACAGACGGACCAACATGTACAAATGTACTTTTTACATTATTCTTTACGTTTGTCCACCAGCTAATTTTCTCCCTAATTTCTGAGCGTATCAGTTTTAGTAACGAACAAAATTTAATAAAAAGCTCGTCTTTCAATGTAATAATTTTCAACTCACAATTTTCAAAATCACATAACATTTTCGCTTCAATTCTATCTCGAAGTTGTGTAATTTTTTGTATATCAAAGTCTTCATATTCTATTAAATTGATTGCATTTAAGATTCTTTGACTTGTACCTCGTTTACCTTGACGTGATGTTCTGCCGAATGCTTGTTCTTCGACACGTTTATTAGGCGGCATAAATGTTACAATAACATGAAGACCACCATGCTTTTCTATTTCCTCCGTTTTTATATCTGTACCTCGTCCTGCCAAGTTCGTAGCTATAATTATTTCTCCGGCATTTATATTTGCGACATTCTTCTCTTGATTCATATCATTCCTCGTATAGAGTTTAATCGCACTAGAACGATATTTTTGATGCAATTTTTCTGCTATGCTTTTGGTAT